AACCAAAAAAAACCATTGGCCAGGAAGATGGACTTGAAGTATTTTGTTAATTACATGAAAACACTCCATATTAACAGTGGTGAGAAGACAGTATCATTCAGTTCCCCTCAGGAGGCAGAAAAATGCAAGCTCTTTTCTTGCAAGAGGAGACATCTACGGAATGATCTGATTATACAGAATTTATGTTTTGCTCTCTGAGATCTTATATGGCTGCTCTAAAAATGTTGATGGACAGTGGTTGATATTGATGTTAGTTCTTGTTTTTTCTTTCTCTCTGGAGTTGAAGAGTTAAAGGGTTATTATCAATTTACTACCTATTGCCTTAACTCATGGGAAAGGAACTTCAATGTAAAATTTATCATTTCATTAGTTTATATATATAAAATCATTGTTTTATTAGATGGTGCTTCTTTATGGACTAATGTATCAAGATTCTATTGGTAATAAGGGATTACTATATTAATGTTTGGGGCCCCAGGGGCTGTGAAGATCTCCAAGTTTCACCTGATCCAGCAGCCCCCTCTGGGTGTTAAGTGTGTGTTTTTGGGCTGTTTACACAGATTCTTCTTTTTTGATTGTATAGTACTAATGTGTATTTCTCTCTCCACTATCTTTTCCATGTTATTTTACTTATTTAATTTCTCTGCCACCACCCTGTTACTGTCCCATGCTAGGAATTTCATTCCTACTCTTCTAGAATAGGTACTGGGAAGTGACAACCTACCCCTAGATTATATAACTTTTGCTGCCCAGCTATGCAAGAACTATATGGCACTCAGGAAATGTTGCTATTTCATTTATTCACAAAGTGACCTTATATTTTACCCAGTATATTTTAAACAATGATGGCTCTGATAATTAAATGTGTCTCCTGGAATTTAAAGGATTTTAATAACCCCGTTCAAAGAGGGGAAAAAAATACTCAATGCTTAAAAAAAGAGAATGTTGCCTTTGTTATGCTCCAGGAGACACATCTGACAGAACATGAAGCTTGTAAACTGAATAAAGCTTGGTTTCAGAGGAACAGCCGTGTTAGTCTGTATTCGCAAAAAGAAAAGGAGTACTTGTGGCACCTTAGAGACTAACCAATTTATTTGAGCATGAGCTTTAGTGAGCTACAGCTCACTTCATCAGATGTTTACCGTGGAAACTGCAGCAGACTTTATATACACACAGAGAATATGAAACAATACCTCCTCCCACCCCACTGTCCTGCTGGTAATAGCTTATCTAAAGTGATCAACAGGTGGGCCATTTCCAGCACAAATCCAGGTTTTCTCACCCTCCACCCCCCCACACAAATTCACTCTCCTGCTGGTGCTAGCCCATCCAAAGTGACAACTCTTTACATAGTCAAGTCGGGCTATTTCCTGCATAGATCCAGGTTTTCTCACATCCCCCCCACCCCCATACACACACACATACACAGTTTAGACATGTTTCATCTTACTGGACTTGTGAATGTGGCACAGATGTTGTCACAGCCACAAAAAGTGCCAGCAGCCCTGAAAAATTATATAAATTCCTGAAGAGAGGTAAATTTGACTATGGAGTTGATCAGCTAACTATTCTCTACTGCTTGCATGACAATTCACATTTCTTTGTTGAGGGCTGCAGTTTAGCCTTGAAAACAGTTACTTGTGAGGGTTACAGTAACCTTTTGAACAAGGTTGATTATACTTTTTGCTGCTATAAAGATGCAAATTATTTTAGTTTCTTCTGCAACAGAATGTAAAAAGTAGTCCAGGCTTTCGCTGTCCTTGTCATAGAATTCTTAGGGCTTTTTCTGCCAACAAACCAACCAGGATGGTTGGTTATACATGCAAGCGCCGGGGAGGGGCAGAAGGGTAGGCTGCAGAAAATAGGAGGCTCCAAATATCTAAAATGTGGTCATTTTCCATGTGGGTATTTAGAGCCATATGTTCCTGGGGGTAGCACACTATGGAGTGAAGAAACATGATAGAACTTACTACAAGTCCTGCCTGAAAATGCCATGCAAAAGCCAAAACTTCATGGTTAATATGTTACATCTCTACACAATTACAGTTTCAAATTGCATCCAGACAGAATATTTGTCTCAGACTAACAAAATCCAAACAAATAATTGAGGTGTGGTGTAAAGCAGCATGAATGTAGCCAGAGAAAAGTCAACATGTTACATTTGCTACCCCAGGGGGAAAAAAAAAACATTTACTTCAGAACACAGAACAAGTTACTGCTGTTCTGGCCACTAGTAGTTTGCTCCTGACAGACATCTGCACCTTGATGAGATGGCATGACTTTTAGACGTAGTCTACACTGAAAAAGATTTGTTGGTACAACTATAGCCACACAGAAAAATCCTAATGTAGATGCAGTTATACCAGCAAAAAAGTGCCCATGCCAGTATAATTTATACCAGTTCAGCAAGTAAATTAAGCTAGACCAGCACTTTCATGCCCGTATAACTACATCTGCATGAAGAAAATTTGCTGGTATAGAAATGTTGCAAAAAAACCAAAAGCAAACACACACACACACACACACACACACACACACACACCCCAAACAACACTGTAATACTGGCAAAAGTTTCTAGTGTATACCTTGGCCTTAGTCTCATGTTAGTGGATGTTCAATCACACAAGGGACACCTCCAAAGCATCAAGACCTTCGGATAGTTATAATGAACAACATCACTTCTCCAGTAGTTAAATTAATTGAGAACTTTCGACTATTGTCTGTTTATCCATCTGTCTAGGTATACATAGCCCTCATTACAATAGACTCTGTGCACATCTATAAATCCAAGGTATCCAGCACAACAGCATATCTCCTCTTATAGTACACATAGCAGTTTGTGCTAAAAGAAAAACAGAAAAAGTCGTCTTCTCGTTATTTTTTTAATTTAAACTTTCTTATGGGTGAACTCAAAAGGTGTCAGAACTAGAAAATGAACTCTTATTTATTCACAGAATGGTGAGGATGGGCAGTGGCTTTGAAAACTATCAATATGCCTCAACCCTGACAGGCAGTAATAACGTATTCATTCAGTCCTCATACCCTTTCACTCTGATTTATTTACCAAAATTGCCAGCAATAGTACATGCCCTTGTTAACTGTGACCATGTTGGTCGCTGCTGGGCTTTATTAAGCTATACTTATTCCAGACCAGAGTCCAAAAATTAAAAGCTCCATTAGCAATGGCCCATATCAGCTATTTCTTTTATACAACTACCTTTACGTTATATAGAACACTCCAGAGTCCATTGGTAAAACACTGCATAAGTTACACATGCAAAAGCCCCATTTACTCTAAAGGGAGTCAGAAAAGAACATTAATTAACATGCCCCTTTTCATAGCATTTTATTAAACTTCCTAATGTGTTTTGTAAAATTACAATTAAAGTTAAGGAGGACTTGTGGCACCTTAGAGACAAACAAATTTATTTGAGCATAAGTTTTCGTGAGCTACAGCTCACTTCATCGGATGCATGCATAATTAAACTTAATTCATCTTCAGAAAATAGTATAACAATTGAGAGTTTGTAGTAGGTTGTGTTGGGATAAGCTGATACTTATTGACTTTGGACCAGGGGCCAAATTCCAGCTTGGTGGACATCGCCAAGAGCCACACTAGTCAATGGGGGTAAATGGAAGCATGACATCTCTCTCTCTCGTTTTCTCAATTGACCCTCATTCTTCCATCTATCTTTCATTCCAATTTTTAAATTCCATTTCTCCTCCTCCTGGAGGCTTTTTCTCCTATTCCTCAGAGCATGTCTGTATTTCCATTATTCCTACCAAAGTTACCATCACAGATGAGACATCTTCCTTTTCCCTGTCCCCATTCCTCAATGTTCTCACACCTCTTCCCTTCATTTCTCTAATCAGGTTTAGCCCACCATATGCAGAAGACAGGTGAACCCTGAAACTAAACCTGTTCAGGAACTCTTCATGCATTTAACATGTTAGCTCTACATTTACTCTTTTAGCTCACGGGGGAAAGGGATGCCATTTCTGTTGTCTGCTGAAAGCTGCTGAGCTGTGGCTAGGAAGGATCTGGACTGAGCAGTTTACCTGTGTGGCATACAATGAGTGTCAAAGTGGCAAGTAATAAAAAAGTACACACTGAGACATTGAGTAATAGCCAATTACTGTGACCATAATTGCTTGATTATGTCTCCATGTAACATGCTGAATATTTGCCCCACCTTCTTCATTGGAGTTCTGATGCCTTCAGAATGTTGACGCTCAGAGGACATTCAGAAATAGAAAAGTATATGGTTCTTGAAGTGTGCTGCATCAAACATCACTAAAGATTTGTGTCACCTATTTCCAAAATGAACAAAAAGTCTGTCTATCTTAGGGATTTATACTGCCATGCATCACCACGTGAGTGCCTTCTATATAAAAGCAAATAGAAACCACAAAGTCTCTAGTTGAGTTCATGAAATTTCTAGCACTTCTTCCTCTTCAGAGTAAAAAGTTTGCTTGATTTATGTTTTTGATGGTGCCAGAGACCTTGTGATCCCTGCTAGCAGGTGGAAGGGCATGCACAGAGAAGCAGAACTAAGTCAAATTACTGGTGCTATAATTGCTTGAACACAACCAACAAAATTATGTGATACCGTCTGTCCAGCAAATGGCAGGAATATATTCCCTATGAAAATAACAAATATTGAGACTACTTGCAACAGCATATGTTGAGATCTCAGTTCTTTCATATTTGACTTTCAGTATCATGTGGTCAGGAGAACTTCAGTTCTCTTACTAGCAGTGTTGAAAGAACCCAAAAGGATGTTCATTAATTCTGAGACCTCCTTGCAGATAAAAGAATAATGGCATCATTAACCTTTAATCTATGTAATAACTTCAGTCAAACCTGGGCCATTCCTTCAGCTAATGACTAAATGCAGACAACCCACCCATTGAAAATCTACAACAAAAACATTAAGAAGATTGGGTTGCATTCCATGTGTAGCCAAGATGAGGGTGAGATGGAGGAAATGAATACTAACCTTTAGAGGAGCGGAAGTGCTTACTGGGTGCTGTGAAGCCTCTTGTCCCATGCACATTCACGGCAGCCACTCGGAACTGGTACCACCTGCTGGGTCTTATGTCAGACAGTTGTACTCTTTCCTCTGTAGTCTGGTGGGAAAAATGTCATAAGACACTGACTCCTTTTATTCTGAAATGTTAATCTTACTGTCTCACATCTTCTGACATACACTAGCTTATTCAGTAGGGTTTTTGAGGTTGGGGACACTGGAGAAATTGTTTTGAGTACACATAAAATTGTGAAATCATAAGTGCCGGCAGATTCCAACAACTGTACATTACTCTGGGAGCCCACCTTAGTCGTGAACTGCAACACATCTACAATTCTTAGCAAAGGCTTCTGACCATGCTAAACTGTACAAAACAGTGTGGATTTTTATTATTATTTTTTTAAAATATCCCTCAAGAAATCAGCTTAAGTGACAAAGCTTACTTTCACTTGTGACTTAAATGGGCAAGATTCTGGTCTCCCCTACACCTGTATACATTCAGGAGAACTGGATGGAAATGTTTTCCAATTATAATTACTGTGGAAATCAATTCAGGGGGAGGAAATCTCTATAAGGATCTCCTTGCAGAGACAGAGCAAGGATTTGTTTCCAGCAGAATACACTTTAAGGCCTATCCAAAAACACTACAGATCCTTAGGAATGCATAGGAGGCAGAGCCTTCTCTCTGTGTGGAAATGTGGCCATCCACCTGGTTCCTGAAAGTGAGGCTCCACTGTAACCATCCTGGATATGGCTGCATCCTGGACCCATTTTTAAAGAGGATCTTCACAGAATCACATAAAGTCAGAAGGGACCACTGCAATTATCTAGTCTGACCTCCTGCATAACACAAACCATAGAAATTCCTTGGATTAATTCTTGTTTAAATAGACCATATCCTTTAGAAAAACATCCAATCTTGATTTAAAAATTTCCAGTGATGGAGTACTCACCACAACCCTTGATAAGTTGTTCAAATGATTAATTACCCTTAAAATATACCTTTACTCTTAAAAAGCTTGCACCTTATTTCAAGTCTAGCTTCAACTTCCAGTCATTGGATCTTGTTATATCTTTGTCTGTTAGAGTGAAGAGACCAGAAGTGGACACAGTATTCCAGCAGCGGTCACACCAGTGCCAAATACATGGGTAAAATAACCTCTCTATTCCTACTAAAGATTCCCCTATTTATTCATCCAAGGATTGCATTAGTCCTTTTGGCCACAGTATAGCATGGGAAGCTCATGTTCAGCTGATCACAAACCATGACTCCCAAGTCTCTTTCAGAGTCACCCTTTCCCTGGATTGAGTACCCCACCATGTAAGTATGGCCTGCATTCTCTATGCCTAGATCTATAAGTTTCCATTGGACCGTACTGAAACACATATTGTTTGCTTGTACCCAACTTACCAAACAGTATGTATTGCTCTGTGTCAGTGACCTCTCCTCTTCATTATTTACCACTCGGCTCCCCCAGTCTTTGTGTTATCTGCAAACTCTGTTATGGGTTTTTTTTCCAGGTCATTGATAAAAATGTTAAAGAGTGTAGGGCCAAGAAGTGATCCCTATGAGATTCACCTAGAAACACACCCATTCAATGATGATTCCTTGTTTACATTCACATTTTGAGACCTATCATTTGGCCAGTTTTTAATCCACTTAATGCATGCTGTTTTGAATTTGTATCATTCTAGTTTCTTAATCAAAACGTGCGGTGTCAAATAAAATACCTTGTAGAAATCTTACATCAACACTGTTGCCTTTGTCAATCAAACTCGTAATCTAATTTAAAAAAAGGGGTATAAAATTAGTTTGACAAGATCTATTTCCCATTAATCTATCTTCCCAGTATCAGATCCATTGCTGAGTTGCTGTGAAACCTGGGATACCAAGTGCCCCAGAGGAGGTAAAGTCTGTGTGTGTTTGCTCCATGTCTCCTCAAGCTTCATAGATTCCGAGGCCAGAGGGGAACATTGTGATCATCTGGTCTGGGCTCCTGTGTAACACAGGCCAAATAACTTCCTCCAAAATAACTACTAGAGTAGCGGTTTTCAAACTTTTTGAGGCGAGCTCCCCCTCCCCGCTTTGAGTTAAAATTTTTAGTTGCATCCCTCTCCGCCTCCGCTCCCCCCTCCCCCCACCCAGACAAAAATAGACACAATACCTTCCCTTCCCAACTCGGGTTTTCAGAGTGTAAGAAGGTGCGTGTGACGGTCTCTGGGGATGGAGCCAGAGCTGCATGTGGACGCTGCCAGAGCAGAAATAGGTGCGGCCACAGCAGATGTTGACACCCACAGGCTGGGTGGCCCGCTAAGTAAGTCAGGGGGTGCAGATGGTGCTCCCGTCCCACCGTGCAGGGCTTGTCCCAGTCCTGCCTGGGATTGCCGCATGCCCCACAGTTTGAAAACCTGTGTCCTAGAGCAGATCTTTTAGAAAAACTTTCAGTCTTGATTTAAAAATTGTCAGTGATAGAGAATCCACCACGACTCTTGGTAAATTGTCCTAGTGGTTAACTACACTCACTGTTTAAAATGAATGCTTTATTTCCAGTCTGAATTTGTCTAGCTTCAAATTGCAGCCATTAGATGGTATTATACCTTTTTCTGTTCAAATGAAGGGCCCATTATTACATATTTATTCCTCATGTCAATACTATATAAGGAATAAATGAACGAGTTGTGCTGCACACTGCCTCATATAGATACTCCTGATACCTGTGAATGTCCCAGGCCTAGTGAGCCAGCCTGAACTTTTGAGAGATGCTCTATCTATCCAGCAAAATTATTTTTAGATCACTGATCACTTAAGTTTTCAGGTGGTGCCTGCACTTAAGGTGTCCACCTGTAACCAGACCTGGTAAGAGGCTACGGTCAGAGAAATTGAGATATTTGATGTTGTGGATGCGGAGCGGGCTGTCTTCTCTCCTCTCTTGCCTTATTGTTTGCCTCTCCAGTCTCTGTTTTAAGCTATTGTGGCTGTGGTACACTCCAGGCCCAGCCAGCTGCTGCTGCTGCCAGCTTTTTCCTCCATCTGCACAAATCTAGGACTCCCTTATTAACTACTGCAGCCTATGAGGGGGCTACAGACCTTTCCCTTCATAGTCTTCCTCTGCATCTTCGTCCCTCCATGATCTGCTTCTTTATTATGTAGAGAGGGACTGAATTATTCAATCAAATGAGCACCTTGAGGGCTTGAACATAGTTGAACCAGCCTTTAATGTTATCTTAATTTTATAGAGCTCAAAGGTGTGCCATTATTTCACAGGAGACAGAAAGACAGTTACTGACCCAAAAAGCTTAGAATCTAAATAGTGGCACAGGGAATGGCAGCAACAGTAGGAAAGAAATGAGGATTACAATCAATGGAAATCAGTGGGTTATTCAAGATTTACACTGGTGTAACTGGGATCAGAGATTGGACCAGTGTGTCTAGAGGTAATACATTAGTGGCAATACTGTTGAGTATTAATACCGTAATAAATACCGTTTATTTTTTAAACGTTCTGGTGAATTGAGTGGTCATAATAAGACAGTCATAGTACAGGCAGACATAACACAAAATTTCTCAGTTTCTCAGCCAAGACTTCCTGGCTCTTATCAGTAACAGTCCTGCTATTCCAACCTAGGAATGTTGGAAACAAAGACTACACAGTGATGGCACAATTAGTATTAATTATGAGAAAGAGAGAAACTGTGTCTAGGCTGAGACTGCCAACCTCATTCTAATTTGTGACTTGATCGCAGACCTACTCCTCTTCCCATTGGTTTCAGTGGCAAAACTCCTATTAGGTGCATATACAGTGCATGTAACTGGAGCTTGAGAGGTGTGATGTTGGAGCACTAAACCACTGAACCACTCAGCAACCATTCACCATTTCAACAAACTTTAACAAAATGTTAAATGCTTATGGGATATTTTATAGTAAGTTGCATTTTTTTAAAAAAAAAAAATCATGTTAACTGTGTTTGGAGCCCAGATCATAATATTCAGCATCATTTTACCAGATGTCCTATATATTAGGTAAATAAAATAGTGTGCTGTACAATATTAAATACTGTTTGGCTGAACTTCATTACACACCTGCAACACTGCCAGTGTATATGAGAGACCAACAAACAACAATGATCCTAACGCTATTATATTATATTGGACCTGTCACCCCTTAACATTCTGTTTGTGAAACTAACTAGACTGATCTCCTTGAGTCTATCCTATAAAGCATGTTTGCTACTCAGATGGTATTATTCTGCAATACCTAAGTGCAGGTGGTTAAGTTGTGAAAATGAGTAGTATAAGGTACCTTAACACATTTATGTATAATTATTTTATATGGTAATTGATCCCTGAGCATCACTTTGGTGCATTGTGTCAATCTTCTACACATCTGAAATATATTTTTCCAAAAAATATGTCCTATTATACTGTGGCAGTTTTAGAATGGTACTAGGGAAAAGATATTAAAAATATTAAAGAAAATAAAGCTCCTACATTAGTGCAATGACCAATTTGCATATGTTAAATAATGTAATTCAGCTTTGGTTTTTTTGTTTGTTTGTTACGCACATTGTATGCTAATGGTTTGCAAAATGTCTTTTTTTTTTTTGAAGAGCAGTTTTAAAAAAATTAGTATCACACAAAACCATATGCAAAAGCAGACAACCTACATTTACAAAATTATCTTTTGCACAATTAAACTAAGAATACACACAAGGGAACAAGATACAATATATACAAATTGACTGTCATGCTGAGTCTTTCTACAACAGGCTAGAGCAAATGTTGGGGAACCCAAAACCTAGAGAAACATAGCTCAAAACTGATAGACCCTCCATTACCCTTGCTCCGCTAGTAATAAACATGAAAAGAGATTTTTAATTAGCCAGAAGAAATATTGTAAAACTGTTTGTAATAATGTGGAAGCAGTTATCCAATACATTTTACTGCCACAAGCACACACAGGTCCAGATCCTTGGCTATGGCCTCAGTGACCTTCCATGTGCATTGAGCATATCTTCCTCACCCCATCAAGCCTGAGCTCCAAAAAGGATACCTCAACAAGCAGCAGCACCCACAACTTTCGACTAGAGGAAGACGTGCTGGGCTGGGAGCCAGGAAAAACCATGAATTCTGAGCTTTTCCACTGACTCGTGTAAATAACTCTGTTCAGGTTTCAGAGTAGTAGCCATGTTAGTCTGTATTTGCAAAAAGAAAAGGAGGACTTGTGGCACCTTAGAGACTAACCAATTTATTTGAGCACGAGCTTTCGTGAGCTACATCCGATGAAGTGAACTGTAGCTCACGAAAGCTCATGCTCAGATAAATTGGTTAGTCTCTAAAGTGCCACAAGTACTCCTTTTCTTTTAACTCTGTTCACTTCGTCACCCAAATTATTGATCAAGGCCTCACACCCCAAATTTAGGAGGCAGACAAATATAATTCCTTCATTTTATAGCTAGAGTGAGACTAGGGCTGCATATAATCACTTCAGGTAGGATTAGGAATCCAACCCTATCTCTAATATGACAAACCAAACTCTCATCTACTCAGCCACATTGCCTTTCAGAACAAACGGGTCAAATTTGCGTACTTGGCTATGCTCTCTATAACTACTAGCCCATGTTCACCTCCAGAGCCAGGCATTCTGACTCTCAATATTCCACTGTGACCTGGCAAACAGTTGCACAAGCTACGTACAGTGTGGTCCACATAGTGATGATAGGCTGTGATCCTCTATCAGTTACTCTTCTAGTTCAAGTAGTAAAATTCTACTTTGTGTGTATGTGGAAGCGCTAGGATCTATACGTTTCCACATCATGGAATTTCTGTCTTTTGAGACTGTTAAGAGAAACCACACACACACACATACCTAGGACATTACATATCGCAAACTACATTAAAAGAGCATTAATGGTATAAAGTCAAGCACTCAAAAATTAGGAAATGCCAGAATTAATGTTGCCCAGTCAACCTTAATTCCATCCCCTCGTTCATACGCAATATGATACAGTCTTTAGTGACAAGTTCACACACTGTTTGTTCTACCGGACCCCTCTGTCATTCATTTTACAAGATAACAGTAAATGAAGCTGAGAGCTGTAAGAAGAGAAAGGAAGTTGCTTTGTTAAGGTACTATACTGGGATTGAGACAATCTGGGTTCTGTTCTCTGCCCTAGACGTCTCCTGGGATACGGGGCAAGGCTCTGTGATCGTGGCATGTGCACAGGCAGTGTTCATTCTGGCACTTACTAATTTTTTGGTGCTTGACTTTACAGGCCCAATGTTCTTTTAACGTCGCTTATTTGTATGTAACCTCAATGGAGAATGAACTCAGGTCATTACAGAACTTAAACTCCTGGCTCTACTTTGTGGACTTTATTTTTTCTCCCCTCCTTGCTACCTGCTGCAAGGACATTTCACAGCTCTTTTTAACATCCACGTTTGGCTTTCCTTGTCAGCAAGGATGTGGCTGCAGCGGTTAAGATAAACTGCTGGAGTTCTGCCATACAGGAGGGCTGTCACCATGTTAAGAAACTGACTGAAACTGGGAAGGAACTAAGTGAAAATTTCTTCTCTGTTGGCTGCTTCTCATTAAAAAGCACTTGTATATGAATTTTACATATACAGTATGGATTGCTATAAGAAATAAGAGCATGACAGCATAGAGTTTGCTGAACTGGTAGGGTAAATGCCAGAGAAACTACAATTTAAAATAAGCAGACCAACAAATGTATTTTATTCTTTCTTCCACTTTGTTTTTTATTTTATTTTTAAAGACAATTGGCTTTTATACCAACTAATTTTCTACTGTTTTGATTAGACCCAAACTCTATCATTGTATGTTATGTATGGGCCCTGCTGATTTCAGAACAGGCTGGGTCTGTCATATGCATTCAGTGGCAAAATTTGGTACCTAAGCCTGAATTTTCAAAAGTGACTCATGAGATTGGATACCTTTGTTTTTAAATGCCAAACTTGACACATCTTAAAATAATTGGATTTCTAGACAATGCTGACCATAGACCCCCTGAAAATTAGGAGCCTGTTGGGCATCTCAAGATGAACACTTAAATATTGAGCAACCCAAAATTACTCATCATTTTTGAAAATATAGATTGAAAAGTGTTTTTTAGGAGAAGTTTTTACATCTTTGCTGGTATACTCATACTAACAGCTTTTTCACTATCTTGTCACCTTTCACTAGTATAAAGTGCTAAAACTGTAGCATTTGGTATTATTATATTAATACTACAAGTAATATGGCTGAGGAAAATGAAGTTACTCTCCCATGAAAAAAATTGACAGAAAACCATGACTTACGGTGCATAGAGAATTACAATGGGACTCAGGAAACCTGGCTTCTATTCCCAGTTTCCCTCAAGTATGCTAGGTGACCGTGGGCAAGTCACTTAAACTCTCTGTGCCGCCATCTCCCCACCAGTAAAATGGGACTAATGGTATTGATCTCTTTTGTAAAAGCACTTTGAGGTCTACTCATAAAATTGCTATACAAGAGCTAGGGATTATTATACAAATGACTGACCTGTGCCACCATTTGCCAGCTGGTGGCATCATCCTCACTGGGATGGATTCCATAATTCCATCTCCTCTGCACCACATAGATCACAGGCTCAATTGAAATATTGAATTTTGAAGACCACTTAACCTCCAGTTGTCCAGACTGAAGTTCTGTGAATTTTAATTCTTTCCTGGGTTTCAATGGAACACCTGAAATAGGAGCGTACAGACAGAATGTTAAGACGTTTACAAAATAGGGTGTGTATGTGGAAGCAAATGTAGGGGGTGTTGTGGGACAATTAAGAGGGAAATGGCTGGACAGACTGAAAAAAAGTTAAGGGATTTAACATGCATGAAGAGTGGAATTTTCCAAAGTGTTCAGAGTTAGCTTAACTCCGTTCCCACTAAACTCAATGGTAAAACTGATATTGAAGTTAGTAAAGTTAATGCCGAGTGCATTTGAAAAATCTCACCCTACTTCATTATTTCCTTTATCAACCACTACACTACAATCTACTGAAATTGCCTTTTAAAAGTTTACAGCAATCACTCATTATTATGGAGTATTATGTTCTCTCTGCAGTTTTGTCATCATGACTACAACACCTCTTTGCAACATTTATAACAGACTGGGGGAAGGAATTACTTTCTAGAGCTGGTCTCTTTTGATTCAATCAGCAAATCAAGTTGTTAGTTGCATTTCTATGGATACTCTTTTGGAACTCATCTATTTCAGTACCTAGCACACTTACCTCAGATCATGACAAATAAAACTGCTGCGTTGACATTTAAACCCTCCTATCAATTTTGTCCTATGTATTTTAATTATGTTGTGACTTTAATAAGGCTCTGCACAGGTGCCAGGGTTCAGTGTGTGGATTGGTGCCATACATTGTAATTTAAATATGCTTCTACCCTAACTATCCATACACAGATGACTCCAAGAAATTACAAATAGTTTTAATATTAAGAGTTCAATACTTTTACATTAGAAATGTATCAAATGAGGGGTGTAAAAACAGCCAAACATTAGTCCCATTGTAGTCAGAGTTTTGCCACTGCCATCAATGGGGGAAGAATTTGGTTCAAAGAGCATATATAAATCAGGTCTCGGATGTTTTTTTCTCTTCATATCCATAACTGATATTACTGTATAATGGGAGCATCTGTGTTTTCTTAGCAAATCCAAAACTGCCAGTGTGTAAACATAAATTATCAGAATTTTGATCCACTTGTCTCTATTTACCAAAGATTTAAATGAGGAATATCTGAGGTTTAATTGTTCCAACTCCTTCACTTCCTTAGATCAACAAACTGCCTTTTGCAGAGCTTTATAAACAGACCTTTCCCAATTACATAATCTGCTACAGTAAATAAAGACAAATATTGTAGTGTTGAAGAAACCTAAAAGCATCATGAGGAAAATTCAGCATTCAAATCCTGTTACCACATAGGTTTAAATCCTGGATATCATTCAACAGCCAGAAGTCATAATCTAATGTAATGAGCATCATGAACTATGTCAGTTCATATGTCTACATTTTCAAATCCCTCTTTAATTATGATGTACAATAATCCTACTATTTGCATGTTAAAAAATCTTCCACCTGCTTTGCATTAGGATCAGTTGGATTCACTTGATTGGAAGTAACTCAACCTCTCTGGTGTATGTAATTGTGTGCAGATGGATCTTAGCAGCACAAACAACTAACGCATAGCACAAGTGCATTTTAAAATCCTTTTGTGGAATCAGCATCATCAGTTTCATATCCAGATGTGTGAATGCAATCACTACTCAATGTGCTTTTTATTATGTAAATGCTCAGTCCCTTTAACCATTCTTGAACAAATTAGTCTTCCGAAATACAGTGTTCCAGTGAGGAATTCAGCCCATGTCTTGTTTTATATGTGGAATACCAGAGTCCAGAAAATGTGTTACCAAAGGTGTTTTTCAACTAATACGTATGTATCCGTGCCATAAAAAGTAAATATATAAACATCAGACATAAGAAAGCATACTTTTAACTCAAATGTAAGAGTAACCCAATACCTGGGGGCTGGGGAGGAGGGGTTCAAAATATATGGATATTAAGTTTATGTATCATTGTAGGCCAGGGATTGTATGTAATTTCATGTGGGAGAATGACCACAGCCCTGCAGGAACTAAGAATAATGGGGGGGTGATTAGGCAAATTAACTCACCTCCAACACCTGGAGATGCTTCCATATACCAGTTCAGACTGGATTCTCCAGAGACCAACAGACAAAAAAATGGACCTTTGGATAAACAGTCTGAGTTTAAACTAACTCAGTGCCTTCTTTCTAATCCAGCAAATGGACAAGACCTTCTGTCCAAAGTGGGGGAGGGTCAATCTTCAGGGAAGTGTTGGAAGGACTGGCACCTACCAGAGCCAAAGTTGGGGTGATCCCTTTTAAGTTTTTTAGCATGAGTGTAGGTTCTTCTATTGTTTTTAATGTTCTCTCTAATGCTTTCATCTTAAGAACAAATGTTCTTGCTTAGAGAGGGCAGTGTGGTAACTTACAACTGCTGGCCATTATGCTGCTCAGAAGCCTTAGAAGACTAAGCAAAGTACAGATGCTGGCCCATGCAGGCAGTCTTGCTTGCTTGGAATAACATAGTGTGGGCAGTAAAATATACGGCTTGGAAATACCCTGGTCAGGAGGGAGAGAGACGTGAGTCTCTGCCTAAGACAGGTAACAGCTGGGATCTAGAAGCCTAAAAGTGGGTGCCCTTGCTGGACCATGGAGGGGAAATACAGCTGCAGTTGCCCTGAACTGTCAGCATATTACATTAATTAAAAGTTGTCATTAGATTTTTCTATGTATTTCTGTGTATTACCAATCTCCAAAACTTGATCAACGGTGAAATTATAGAAACTTGCAGAGAGCTAGTCTACACTAGAAGTGCTACAGCAGCACAGTTGCACGGATGCAGCTATGCTGTTGTGGCACGACTGGAGAAAGCTCTCCCGTTGGCATAGAGTGTCCTCTCCCATTGGCATAATAAATCCACCTCCATGAGAGGTGGTAGCTATGTCAGCAGAAGCTCTCCTGCCGACACAGCACCATCCACTCTGGTGCTTAGGTCGATGTAACTTACGTTGCTCAGGGAGGGTGGTTTATTCACACCCCTGAGCAACATAAGTTATACTGACATAACCTATAATGAAGACAAGCCCATCGACTATTTTAGTTTCAATCTGAGTTCATTTTCTGGCTATGAGTGCTGTCAAAAAGATTAGCATGAGTATTGGATTTGTTCACTAGATCTTAGTCATGCTTGCCAATTTTGCTCTTCCTAGTGGCAGGGAGGTCATTTGCCCTTGGAGAAAATGAAAAGCAAGACTGCCCAGCTCCATCTTGTTCTTTGTTGTAGGAAGACAATTTCAAGGGCTAATGATCTGAATTCGTCAGCTGAGAAAGCAGAAGAGCATTGGTTCTGCCCTTCCTGTGTAACACATCTGTGTGCTTCCAAGCAAATACCTACTGAAGATAACTGATAAGATGTTGGAGCAGAATGTTAGTGCTACAAGTATATAATTAGACCAGACTTCTCCTTTTGCATTCATTCACCATATCATATCCTATGTATGCTTCCCTACATACAGCTCTTTAATTTCACCCCCCCCCCGCTCCACACACGCACCAATTATGAAATACATTTGAATGTCCTCAATGAAACTTACTATATAACGTCACATTTGAGGTTTGATCCTGTAAACTTCTGCTCCCATGCAATACAGATACTGTATTACTTTAGCACCAATTTTGGGTCATTTGCATCAAAAAGAATACGAATGAGTTAATGAAATCATTCATTTTTAATAATCTTTTGCACATTAATATGTGATGTTATAATAATGTATTAAAGTCTTATAATTATATAAGACCTGATTCACAGACCATTGAAACCAGTGGAAGTCTTTCCATTGACTTCAATGAGCTTTGGATTAAGCTCTTATTGGAGGTCATCCCAAAACACTTCACATACAGTGCCTTTGTGGGTTCCAGGTTTACTGTGCTTCGGTAACTTTCAGATCAAATTTGTTTTATTTATGTTAAGTAAATCAAAAGATTTTCTAACTGCTAACGCTGTCTGGGTTTAGAAAGTCAAGCTAGAGAGACTTGGGTAGTGTGGACTTGATTTGGTCCAGTTCTGTTGATAAAGTCCTTGACAGGAGGAGGTAGAAGTATACACTGCTAGAATCTTATTTTCTCACTAAAGTAAGGAGAATTTACTTTTAATATACACACAAACCAAGTCTGTGGAGTGAGAAAGTGCCTTCTTATACAGTCACTTTTCAGTGTTAGATTCACACTTTAAGAATATTTAAGTGAACAAAAGTTATTGTTAACAAATCAAACTCTGGAATCACTCTTAGAGCCAATCATTCCATAAGTTATAATACCTTATTGTTGCATGATGAGGAAAACTTTCTTCTCCGAATTTCAATACTCCAATCAAAGCAAGTAAAAACATTTTAATAGAACTTCTTTCCTCAGCCTCTTCAAGCATTGAAATACTGCCTATATGTATTTTTTAGTATTTTCTAACTGCTTTATCTGCAAGATATCAATGCCATTGATTCAGAATATAGCACTCATTTGCTCTCCAATTGGATTATCTCTCACTATGTACTTGGTAGTGCTACCCACTTGATTCTTATTAACAAAGATTATCTCTGATTTAAGTGATTTAAACTGTTTATCTTTAAATACTTTCATTGTTGAAATTGTTCTTCTCATCTGTGTAAAATTAAGTGACACTCTACACAGACGGGCCAATTTGTTCTGCTTATGATTCAGATTCACTGTGGCCTCCTCTCTGTGATTCACTGACACCTTGTTAGGGATTCCACGAGGGAATTATTGAAGCATAGGAGCGGAAGGGACCTCAGTAGATCATCTAGTCCAGTCCCCTCCACTCAAGGCAGGACTACCTAATAACTAGACCAGTGACTCTCAATCTTTCCAGGCTACTGAACCCCTTTCAGGAGTCTGATTTGTCTTGCGTACCCCAAGTTTCACCTCACTTAAAAACTACTTGCTTATAAAATCAGACATAAAAATACAAAAAAAAAGTCACAGCACACTATTACTGAAAAATGGCTCTCTTTCTCATTGTTACCATAGAATTATAAAATAAATCAACTGGAATATAAATACTGTACTTACATTTCAGTGTCTAGCATATAGAGCAATTATAAACAAGTCATTGTCTGTATGAAATTTTAGTTTGTCCTGACTTCGCCAGTGCTTTTTATGTAGCCTGTTGTAAAACAACGCAAATATCTAGACGACTTGTACACCTGGTTGAGAACTAGACCATTCCTGACAGGTGTTTGTCTAACCTGTTCTTAAAAACCTCCAGTGATAGAACAATTTACAGTTACAATTATATCCTCACCATCACCTCTCACACACACACTTACTTCCCTATAAACTTAAAGGTCTTGTTTTTCAGGCAGCTTTATTACAGGCTAAAACACTTAGCACACTAACAGTGCCTCCTAATGATCTCTACCTTTGTACAGATTTTTTGGTACTTGACATGTATGTCCACATCCATTGGAGCAGCACTTCTTCACCCCAGAACATTCACTGTCAGCCTCACAGCTTTCAACACAGGCAGCCGCAAAACCGCTGGCCTTCTCAGGTGCTGGGCAGTCTCCTTGCTTCACTGACAGGATGTATTTGAGGAATTCACAGCTAGTTAGGCATTCATAGTTCTTCTTGGGGAAAAGAGGCTAAAGGGAACATGAAACAATTGTACACGTCTTCAGTGGAAAAAAAATAATGCTGAAAGATTTCCAGAGATTTCTTTGGAAAGAAAAGTCAAATGCTCAGCTATTGCAAGACTATCCCTGAGGGTTTACATATCCATGTAGCTTTTAAACAAAGCTTGCAGAGTACAGAATGGTGAAATCCCTCAAACAAGACCACTGTCTTTTATGGAATTAAATTGTTTTTATATGCCAGCTTTTCCCATTTTCTTCATATTAGCTGACTATGAAGTTGCTTCATGACAGATTGAAACCATTCACAAACCAGTCCTTTTTGGAACCATTCTGTATTTTTCCCTTTGTATTTCATGGCACTTTACCCATAGTATACTGCATAGCAGTGGTGCAGGAACAAGGGATGCTGGGAATGCTACCACACCTCTCCGCCTTGAAGTAGTAATAACAAATACCAAATACATGGTTCCCATCATCAGCACCCCTACTATAAAAATAATTCCAGCACCCCCGCTGCATAGTGCCACCCCAAATTACACAGACAAAATTTAGTAGTAATATTTTCATTTGGTTGTTGAATCACATTGACGTGAGGGGACTTACCAACATCTTTATGTTAATGTCATTTTTTTTTAAAGGAGAGATATTTTTCAATGATCAGTTAATTCTACTTATGTGAAAAATTAGGTTCCAGTTCTACGGAAAGCTACAAAATTTTAAAAGGCATGTGCCATCTTTGTTCCAATAATGGGCTTACGGAGTTCATTTAAAGTTGCTTCTAAAAGTATTATGAATTTTCTCAGAGAATGATTTTGGAGCCCTATTCTACAAACCCCAACTCTTGTGAGTAACTCTTCCTCACACAGCTAGTCCCACTGTCTCAGTGGATTCCTCACATAAGTAAGAAATGTTGAATCAGGCCCTTATTTCCCAGTAGAGACTTTGCAAACTTTGAAACTAAATTTTTGCTTCCAAATGTTATCCTGAATAAAGAGAAATTGACAGATTTCCACTGCAAATGAGAATGGCCTGGGTTAATTCAATCAAAATGGCATCTTCTGCAGTGAGGTTGCGGGTGACAGTGAGTGTGTGTGTGAGAGAGAAGGAGGGAGAGGCTAATTTTAATCCTAAAACATCACAAATTTGCAGCTAGTTAATTAAAAAACTTTATAGCCCCTGGGAGGCATAATATGTCTTCAAGGCTTCTCTTCCGCACTCTGTTTCACAGCTCATTTTTCTGCTAGCTGCTAAATGTGCTGCTCTTCATTACTGGCCTTTGAGGTTCTAAATTTAGCTTCAATCATAAAATCACTAATCAAAAAGAGATGCTAGCACATTTTAAATACAATAGAGCAGTGTTCTACTAATGTTTTTCTTTTAAACGAAAATGTGTGAATTCAGATTTGGAGATATAAAGCCACAGTGAAGAGGGATGTATGAGATGTAAGTTATACCCACTTTATACTACTTTAGGTTTTGTCTACATGAGAAAGCTGCATGAGTTTAAACCATTTAAAGCTATGTCTACATTACAGACCTTATAATGGCACAGATGTACCGTTGCAGCTGCCCCACTCTAAGGTCTCCCGTGTAGCTGCTCTATGTAGCCGGGAGAGAGCTCTCCTGCCAGCATAATTAAACCCCCAATGAGTAATGGTAGCTATATCATCAGGAAAGCATTTCTCACCAACACAGCACTGTCCATACCAGCACTTTTGGTGGTGAAACTTATGTTGGTCAGGACTCAGAGGTGTGGTTTTTGACACCCCTGACCAACAAAAGTTTCACCGACAAAAGTAGTAGGGTAGAGTAGACAAAGCCTTAGTTTATGGAAATCTAAGGACTTGTTTACACAGGGAAGTTTTACCAGTTATGCTAATATTATATATGCATAGTTACACAGGGATAACCTGTGCCCATACAGACAAACTTATTCTGGTATAAAAATGCCTTTTTGAATTCAGTTTAAACCCCTTCCCAAGGGACATAAACTAAGCCCAAAAAAGGCATTCTTATTCCAGAATAAGAGTGGGAAGACAAGGAGAGGAAGGTTAAAGCAGTATAACTTTATCAGTTAAATTAACACATTAGATTAAACCAAAAACACTTCCCCATGAGACAAAACCAAAAGTCTTATCTATGCACATATTTTTATTAATTTAATGGAAGGATGTTTTCAAACGGATTTAGTTAAATCAGTGCAAAGCCCTGTGTAAACATTCTTATTTTGGGTTAAATTCAGTTTAGTTTAAATCTGTAAGAAACTAATAAATAAATTGATATGAACTACTCTCAAACCAAGTACGATTATCTATACAACAGTTTGCACTGGTTTAACTAGTCTATGCTAGAAAGAAAGACTTTGCTGATTCAGCTATATGGGTATAGTTATAGTGGCAGAGCCCCCTCGTGGATACACACCTTATATTTGCCTAAGGTGCAAGCCAGTATAGCTAAACCAGTTCCCCAAACAATATGCACTATACTGGTAAAAGGACTCTTGACAGCATAGCTATGTTATTTGGAGGTGTGGATTTTTTCATTCCGTTGAACCAACATGGCTATTCAAGCAAAACTTTGTATCGTAGACTTGACCTGAGGGTTTGTCTACATACAGAGTTATTCCAGAATAGCAATTCCCAAAGAACTCTTCCTGATTCAGACATTCTGGTTCTGGAATAAGACCAACTTTCTCCAGTTTCACTTAATCCACTTTGGAAGGGGATTAACAAACCAGAAAAAAGGCTTTCTTATTCTAGAATAAAAGTGTCCACACATGGAGTTAATCAGGAATAGTTTATGTGTATTCCGTTCTCACTCTACCTTATTCCAGAATAATTTTCATGTGCAGATAAATCCTCAGTCTTGCTTCATCAACCCTAGAATTGTAAAGAATTCTAGCTTATATATTAGCTCATGTGTGTTTCAAACACACTTTTTCCTATGTGTTTCAAACACACATGTGGCCTGAAGGGATAGAAGGGAGTGTAGCAGTAATAGCAACTAGCTAGAGGGATTTAACAGAACTTCTCATATTTGTAAAGTTAACTAAGCTTGTTCTAGATGGGAGACTCAAGTTTCAACTTCAGGAAAATGGTTGGTATAAAAAATTCAGTAACAAATTGTGAAAATAGTGTTTTTACTCAGATTTAATACTAAATTGTTACACTCATCCTCCCAAAATACAGGAGAATGTGCATATGTAGATTGTGTGTGTTAGCTGTCACCTTAAAGTGCAAACCTCCATAGTAGTACGAATGAAAGAGACAGCCAGAACAAAGTGAGAAAGAATGCCTCAGGGCTGACCTACCTCACAGAAACTTTGGCAATGGTTTTTCTTCAAGTCCCAAGATTCTTTGCAGGGCTCCAGGCACTGAGGGAAATCATGAAAAAGAGAAAAAGGACTAGTCAGTAAGAGGAAAAAGTAACATTCATAGCAGACCTTACGCCTTTATTGATTGTTTGACCCATAGGAAGTTAATACGTTTCTTTAAACCACTTCTGAGGATAAGACTGTGTCATAGTCTCAGATCAAGGTCATTTTGAACCACTGTTAGATTATAGGAAATGTTTCCAATATTTCTCATTGTACTAGGCAGTATCCTTGGCTGTGTATGTGCCATCCCCTTAATTGCTGTGTTGAATCTGGATACATAACAGTTAACACCATGCCACCAGATTGCTCCATGGAGCCTAGAGACAACAGTTATTGTCTGACGTGCTCTTGAAAACTAACCCATATCTTCTGTGCTAAACATAGCAAGTAGGCTGGCATATGGGCTCTGCCAGGCTGGGAGGAGAAGGAATCCTGCCTCCTGAGACCATGGAGTTGCGGTAGCAGAGGTTTCACCTCTGTTCTTATGCATTTGTGAGAGACAAAGCCTAAAGGTTATGTAGTAGCAGATTCATCAATCCCAAACCACTGCTTCTTCACCTTCAAACTCCACTATACAGGTATATACAGTGAGCTTAGTACCATGGCATGCAGGATGCACAGATCCACAGCACAGAATCCCCAAACCTGACCCACACGCACACCAGAGCAAAACTAGTGCCAGGCTGTCTGGGGCCCTCTATTGCCATGGAGAAGGGAAAAGATTTGCCACTTCCTAAAATCTAGACTTCCTTATTTTGGGGGTGGGTTTTATTATTAATTATTATTATTATTATTATTAAGGCAGAAGATCTTGGAAAATACTAATAGAGCTGAAATTAAATTCCATATTTTGTCCCTGGCCACAGGGGAAAGCTGCTTATCTACACTGGAGAATAAGGCCCTTGTGTACAGTTTAGCATTAAAATCACATGTATTCCTTAAACACATATTGCATTTTGTTTTAGAATCAAGAATTTATCATAAGAACATGAGAATGGCCACACTGGGTCAGACCAATGATCCATTAGCCCCAGTATCCTGTCTCAGACAGTGGCCAGTGCCAGATGTTTCCCAGGGACTGAATAGAGTGGCTTTCATAGGACCATGTGCATCTACACAGTTTAGAAATGAACATAAACATATAACCTATATCTAAGCATAACTGTACGTTTGTGCCATGGTAAAAAACTAAATGCACTGAAACAAGATTTGTCTTTTTTCCCTACTAGTGAAAGAGAGCTGTGAATTCGGTAGGGAAAAAGAAAATCATAAAAGTATTAGTCACAGGGGCTACAATAATGAAATATAGCCATCCCCCATTTCCTATTTTGGAGTTTTAATCCCAGCTTCTGGCAGTTTAATAACCACAAGATACACTTTAGCATAATTAGACTGCTACTTTTTAAAGCTTTCACTAAACTCTGTCAGTTTAATGAACTCCAGAGTTTTCTTGCTTCTGTGCTATAAGTGCCATACATCTGAGCCTGATTCTGCTCTCGCACCAATTTTACAACCCTCAACTGGCTTTGATCGAGTTAGTTTTGATTTACTATGGTATATGAGGGAAGACACTATGGGTGAAATCCTGACTCTATAGGAGTTCTGCCATTGACTTCAATGACCCTATACCTTTTCCTAATTCTTGCTTGGTTACTGCAGAGCCACATAAAGCTTTTATTAGTAAACAACACCAGACCTGACTGGATCCCCTATCTACATACAAAAGGGATCTTCCACATATGCCTCTCACTCCTCCCACGTGAAAGGAAGGCACTGCTCCTCCACTTAGCCAGGGGAGATGGGACAGTGGCAAGGAGTAGATTGGGAGGCCTGACTCAGATCCTCTCCAACATGGGGATCAGCCTATGAGGGGAGTAGCTGATGGCACAAGAAGCCATGGCTCTCCAGCTTCAACTGAGTTGTATTGCTTGGGTACTGGGGAAGGAGTCGTCAGGAGCAGAGAGACAAAGTGCAGATGGGCCTGGCCTACTGCTGATAACCCAGGATTTAGGACACTCTTTGTATAGGCAGTTATGTAGCCCCCATCACCATAGCAAAGGAGTGTCTCACTCACATTAATGAATGTGTATTTAGCCTCATAACAACACCAAGAGGTAAGTAAGTGTTGATATTGCCATTTTACAAGTGAGAAACTGAAGCACCAAAGTCACATGGGAAGTCCATGGCAAAGCTAGGATTTGAACCCAGCTCTCTTGTATTTCAGTCCAGGTCATTAACCACAGAGACCATCCCTGAGATCTCATGTGCTGTTTGTAGGGAGGGCAAACCTTACCCCTTTAATGGCAATGTTCAGGGGCAAATCTCAGGGAGGAGAACAGTACAGCTATTTCTCTCTGTTTATCTCTCTCCTGTGAATTTTCTCATGACAGGAATCGATATGTCTCATAGTGGCCAACCTGTGTTAGTTTCTATTAAAAAGAAAAGGAGGACTTGTGGCACCTTATAGACTAACCAATTTATTTGCGCATGAACTTTCGTGAGCTACAGCTCACTTCATTGCATCCGATGAAGCGAGCTGTAGCTCACGAAAGCTCATGCTCAAATAAATTGGTTAGTCTCTAAGGTGCCACAAGTCCTCCTTTTCTTTTTGCAAATACAGACTAACACGGCTGCTACTCTGAAACCAGTTTCTATTAAGGCATTCTATTTCAGTTTAAATTACAAATACGCTTCTGAACTGCATTTTATTTATTATATTTAAATAGGGGTCCCCCTTTTCTCCTCCCTGTGGCAACAGCAGTGCTCTGCAGAACACTATAAAAATAGGCTGTTTATCTGTGTATGTTCTGCAACAGAGTGATCCTGATCCCCATTTGCTGAAGTGCCTAAAGTGGGGCTTAAATTATTAATATAAATGAAAGCACGAAAATTTCTCCTCCCACACACATCTTCTCCATGACTAGCCCATCCAATCAGGCTAGGCACTCAGCTGAGGATTCGCCCCTAAAAACAGGAATTTGGCAAATGAAAGTCTTGTAAGATCAAGCCCTCAATTAATAATGCCTAGGCAGGAAGATACTGTTAAGATATGAAATATGTCACGTTGAATATTTAAATAAAGTCAACCCATTGCCACTAGCAGTGGTAGGCAATATTTGCTTTTTATGTCCAACTCTTCAGAAAATATCTGAACAAAGTATGTGTGCCTTGAAATTAAAAGTCCGGATGACACATTTCAAAGATTTTGCTGAAAGTCACCAAGGGCCCGATCCAAAGTGCACTGACGTCATTTGGAGTCTTTCCGTTGATTTCAGTGGACTTCAGACCAGAGTTCATGCTGGGGAGGAGAACATACAATTCTCCTGGCCAATAAAAAGAGTTTCAAAGAAAGGCCTACAACACTCATGGGGAAAGTATTCTATCCAGCAGATAAACACTTCCTGGTTTTCCAGATTATTGTAAATGTGTGTCTGTAAAACGATTCTGAAAATTCTTCCAGGATAAGGCAAAATTTATGCCAGGAAACAGTTTTCTGCTGATTTTAACTATTTTACTTATAAAGGAGAAAAAAGTCACCTGTAACAATACCACCAGCTCTCAGCTAAGTGCAGTACTTGGAGGACAGACCACCAACACATACCAAGCTGCTGCAGGAAGTGGTTCTGATGATTCAGTCAGTAGATGGCACTGTTCCCTCCGAGTTACTACTGAACCAATTCTAGCATGATGTTGGGCACATTGTGCTGCTGGAGAGGGCTATGTTTTGGATAAGAGAAAAAACTGAGGCCCGAACCCCCTGTGGTCATTAGAGGCCCACTAGTATTCTTCATAAAAGGAAAGGTGTTAACCTGCTGGCCTTGCCAAATTCCATTTTGGGTAACTGCACTATGCCTATGTTAAAATCTGCTGTAGTTTAATTTGGCCTTTCCTTTCCTGTTCTAGTCTATTTTACAGTGTTGCTGTGCACTGTTAAACAATTGCCATGTTTCAACACAGTACCTGCTTTAAATGATAACTGAAATGATCTCAGTATCTTGTATCATTCAAAACCAATGTAGGTATAAACTATGTCAATGATGACTACGTATAATCAGAAATAATGTTAAGCACTGGCTGGCACCGGTTGAGTTGTATAAATTACTGCTGCTTTCTTCAGTTTTGTTTTGCTATCCTTTTATTAAAAAGAAAAGGAGTACTTGTGGCAGTCTCTAAGGTGCCACAAGTACTCCTTTTCTTTTTGCGAATACAGACTAACACGGCTGTTACTCTGAAACTTAGGAAATTCGGTGTGACAGCCAGGGTCCAGACACCTCAAGGAAAGAATCGAAGGTTTAACTCCCCCAAAATAAGCAGTTAAACTAATTGCACACTGTTATTTTACTGTAAGGAACATCGAGTAAGATCATTTATGACAGCTTTTCATGCACTGAACTTAATAGTTATTATGAGATATGTATACAGGTTATGGTACACAGACATGAATGTATATACACGGAAAACTGGAATTCTAACTGTGGTGCATCTTCAGCATGGCTTCACAAGAGGGTGGTGAAACAATCAGGGAGGGAGAGGCTATCTCCTCAGCCAGACAAGACTGGATTCAAGCACCTAGCCATTGTCCAGCCTGGGGGGGAAACAATGCAGAATTATCAAAGCAAACGGGAACAGTTTGAAATGGAAAAGAAAACTGCAGTCGTCGAAAACTAAGGGTACTTCTGCAGTGCAATGTAAGCCCAGGGTTAGGAGAACTTGAGTTAGCAGACTCTGGGTTTGTTAACCTAGGGCTTGAGTGTGTACATGCATTTGTATCCCCAGGTTAGGAACTGTTGAATTCTGGGTCCCAACCTGGGGTTCCAGCAGCTACACTGCATTATGTGAACCTGAGTCCAACCATCCCTACCCCAGACTTACTAGTCCGCTGCCAAAATGTGGCCACTGTAACCCATTGTTCATGGTGCAGTGTGGGAAAACTTGACTATCCAACAAACTTGACTGACCAGAGAACAAAGAAAGTCAGCCCATGGGATTGTGAAATA